ACTGAGATTACAGACATGAGCCACTGCACCTGTCCTCTATGATCCCTGTTTTAAATTCAATTGCCTAGGATAAAACCTTCCTTTGAGAAAACCTGCACAACCAACTAATGCCCCTGCAGTACAAGGGGAAGTTACTCTTTCAGATGGACAGCAGATGAAGTTTCTGCTTACACTGAAGGGTCTCCTATGAGTCAATGTGCTTTATATTTAAACAATAAAATTACACATGGTCTGGGTAGATACTCCCAGTAGTTGCAACCACTTTGGGAAATACAGCATTTGATCTCTGGCTCACATTTGCTTCTTAACAAGGTTACTGTCCAGTTGGGAAGCATGTTTTCTTATAGGAGGTCAGGGAGGTGAGGGCCAAGATGACATAGTTGGGTTTTGTATACAACTATGTCTACTCTGAAGCAACTGGCATTCAGTCACATTGGAAGGTGAAGCTGGCCAAAGGTGACAAAGACAGTAGCCTGATCATTGTGTTGTGATGTTGCCTTACTTGGCCAGGTGCATCTTGCTTGCAGGATAGGACAGGTGCTACCCAAGTGGAGGGAACCTCAGCCTTGAGTCAAGATATCCCAGCACAGACTATCGACTAGACAGAGACTCATTCTCAACTGAATTAGTCCTCATTCTCAGCCAGTTTTTACCTCTGTGACGTAGGCTTCCCCTAAACCCGGGCATGCAAGAAAACTTTCTGTGACAATGAACACATTCTCCATCTTTCCACAAGTGGCCACTGAGAACTTGAAATGTGGCCCAGACCACCTAGGGACAAAAGCTTTCCTTCCATTTTATTTTCAGTTATTTTTTTTTAACACAGGTCTTACTAAGTTGTTCACGCTGGCCTAGAACTCACTATATAGTCCACATTGGCCTCGGACTTGCAATCCTCCTGCCTCTACCTCCTGGTTGAGGGCTGAGATTACAGGTGTGTGCCACCCTGCCTGTCCCTTTTATTTTATAATTAACTAACATTTAAATTCGAATAGTCATGTAGATCAGTGGTGTACTATTGGACAGAACACACATGGGCTAAGGCCACCTGTGGTCACATCATCTTCACATTCATCCATTACACCCCTCCCAGTGCTCACTGTTGCACTCCCATTAGCATTTTACTCTACAGCTCTCCTAGATGCCTGAAGGTAGGCGAGAGCGCACTGAGTTCTCCCTGGCTATGTGTAGGATTGGTTGCAAGATCTATAGATAGAAAAATGTATGGACGCACAATTCCCTTACATTTGAATATGGTCTGTGCACCTATCTTATATTCTTTAAATCATTTCTAGATTACTTATACCTAATATAAGTAATAATTATATTAAGTATAATTAATATAATATAATAAATTATAATTAAATTATATAATTAATTAATTATATTAATTATAATTAATTATTAATAATAATTAATATATAATAATTATATTAAGTATAAGTAAATAATGCAAATACTATGTGAACATTTGTTACACGATTGTTTAGGGAATAATGTGTGTGTATATACGCATTCAGTATAGATACAGCCACCAAAGGCCTGTCTACGCAGTACACACTGGCAACAACGTAGTATTTCCAATCCATGGCTAGTTAACTACACTGCCAGAAAACAGTGACTGACTGTAGTAACAATAGAGCCTTTTATTTCTAAGAGAAGTGGCCATAATGTTTATTTCAAAGGACAAAGCTGCCTAGTTATCCAAAATGACATCTGATGAATTTGCAATAGACTAACCTAGTTTTAAAAAGTTCTATTGCAAATGTATCAGATATCATTCCAGGGGAACCATGTGCAGGTGAGTGTGCCCATGGGCAGGGAGATGATCACTTGTAATGAATTCTGCTGTCCGGTTCCTGAAATTTCCACACACAACCCTTTGCCATAGTGTTTGCTTATTTATTTTTTGTCCTGCTACTATCAAACACAGCCCTTGTCCTCTTCCACACAGACTTTTGATAATGGCTAACCCATGAAGAGCACACCTGCTTCAAAGAACCAGCACTGACTTCAAGGAAGCTAGCTGTCTTACCTTAAAGGGCAGAGGAATGGGAAGAAGCAAATGCAGTAACAGAGAGCATTCACTAGAGGGCATTGCCATGAGTAGATTAAGACTGAAACTAAATATAATAGAGCTTCAAACAAACAAACAAAAATCATGTCACAAAGCAGAGGTCTGAGAATTCAGAGTATATAGCTCAAGTCACACAGCTCTGACTGTCTTTAAGAAAAAGACTAAAAATCTATTCAGATGAAATTCATGAAACATTCCCAGAAATCAAACAGGACATTGATGCAGCAACAGATTGAAGATGCACAGTGTGTCCCAGAAGAAAAAAATGACAGCAATCTATCAATGTCAACCCTGTGCCTTTTCTCCCTGCTTTCCCAAAGGGTCCTTATCTGCCCCTTAAGGTATGCCATTTATCTTGAAGTGCCCTCTGCTGGCTGAGCTGAGATCTGCAGCCATGGGTCCCTTTGTCTCTTCCTCTGCTGGATCAGAGGCCGGTGACCAGCCCTACCTGCTCTATTACAGGTGAAACCCAACTTTGCCTCAGGTGGATTTTTCACTTTTGCTTTTTGCCCTTCTTATGAATGGGATTTAGCTGCCAAAATGAATGAGTTTATTCAGGCATAGGCTATTTTACACTTAACAAAGCACATTTGACACCATGTGGTTTGAAAGTGAATGGATGCAATTGGAGGACATCATGTTAAGTGAAGTAAGTCAGGTTCAGAAAGACAAAGGCTGCATGTTTTCTCTCATATGTGGAATATAAACCCAAAGATAAACATATATACAAAAACAAGCATGATCATATACAAACTCAGATGTAGAACATGTTTGTAATAGTGGAACTGCTCTATGGAATTTGGGGAAGGAGGGAATGGAAAAGAGAATGGGAGAGCATCAACAGTATTGAAATACATTACATCTGTGCAGGTAGAGGTTATAAGGATGTGTATTGAAACCTGTTGAATAATAGGGATTAGGAGGGAAGGGGTAAGGGAGAGCAGTGGAAGGGGTTGAACTAAGCAAAGTAAAGTAGACTCACAGTGGGAACACATTGAAAAACCCCTTTGAACATTAACTTAAATATTAATAATGAAAAACAGGACTGTAGAATAGGTACAGTGTGTGGGGGGAGGTATTTGTGGGAGGGGACAGGTGAATGAAGGAGATTAAGGTGATTATGGTGGATGGCCTTCATATACTTCCATGAAATAGAACAAAGAAACCTCTTGCAATTGTTTTAAGCGGGGCGGGGAGGGGGCCAAGGGGGAAAGACAGTGGGGTGATCTAACCAATGTACAATGTAAGGCTATTTGGAATTGTCACAATGAATCCCCCTCCCCACTCCAAACAATGAATATATCTTAATAAAAAATTTTAAGAATCCCCATTATACTAAGCACTCAAAATAGGTCTTAAACATCAATTAAGACTGGAATCAAGGAAGCCAGATCAGAGTTCAAGTTATGCTGAGTCGTTTCCTTCCCTTTTCGTTCTATGTGGCTGCTTGTGTCATCTCATTTGGACTGAGCCTCCAACTTGATATTTGAGCCTCTGGTCCAGTGGTGCCTCACCATCCTGGCTGTGCTTGTCACAGCACAATGGACTGCTTGCTCCAGAGGAGAGGGGTATGATAATATTGGTTTTTAAGGGCTGTCTTTTTGGGGAGAATTACAGAAACCAAGGATTTATGTTTTAAAAATTAAAGACAGGAAGGAGTATTCCAAACACCATAGGCGTCCTGCTGTGGTAGGCGGGCTGGTGTGCTGCCTGGGAGGAATGGGGTGGTAATTCAAAGTTATTGCAGGGTCATCCCCCCCCCCAACCCCCACTAAGGTGAAGACCTGGGCAGCAACACAGGGCATTCATTCTCTTACTCTTCCTGCAGATTTTTTTTTTTTTGGTGGTACTGGGGTTTGAACTCAGGGCTTTGCGCTTGCTAGGCAGGCACTCCACCATTGAATCACTCTGCCAGCCCTTTTATTTTGTGCTGGGTATTTTTAAGATAGGGTCTCATGAATCATTTGCTCAGGCTGATTTTGATCCTCCGGATCTCTTCCTCCCAACTAGCTAGGATTACAGGCGTGAGCCACCGGCACCTGGCCAGATTTCTTCCTTGAGTAGAAAACCCAATTTGGCATTTTAAGTGTCCCACTGAAGTGGAAAAAGTTACTGGGCATGCCAAATGTGATTGCTTTGAGAGTTTGGAAGTCTTTGCTAAACCTTTGTGGATAAGTGACTCTGATACCATCTGAGGTCTGATTCTTTGGGGAGAAAGAAGGTGAATGAAATTGCCCTGGTGTGAGCGAGCTGGTCATACCTTTCACCAGAGCCCACCAAGCTTGCTCATGACATAGCCCCCAAACCTCCCAATTTTCTGCGTATGTCGTGGGAGAAGTGTGCCTTAAGTAGTGTATGTCATTTTCAAAGTTTTTTTTTTTTTTTTTTTTTAGTGGACAATCAGCCAGGGTGTTTTGCAATACAGACACAGACATAATGAGCAAAGGAAAATGAAGAACACTGTATTAATGTTTATTTCTAGTTACAAGAAACAGAACATCAGTCCCTTATTTGTACAAAAATACCTGAAAGTTTACAATTAGGTTCACGAGCCAAAGAGCTATGTACAGAATGAAGCAGAGCACGTGGCTAAAGGCTTTGTCTCTTAATTAACACCTTCTGCATTCCCTGGAAACGGTTACATGCCAGGCCAGATTACAGTCACTGCGGCTTGCACTACGACATCACAAATCTACGATAAGCTAGTCCCGCCCCCAGAAGGTGCAGATCGATCAAATTGTCAGGTATTAAATGCAGAAAGAAGACAAAACATCTAAGCAGAGGCACATGTTTCTTCAAGGTTTAGCAAACAAAAAAACACATTCTGGAAATCTAACACCTAATGTAACAGAGCTTACCTATTAAACTCTACTACCCAAAACATTTGGCGTTTTTTTTTTGTGTGTGTGTGTGTATGTGTGTGTTTTTTTTTTCTCCTTCTCGACTTAATCCAGGTTGCTACATGGAGTTTTCGTTTAGAAAAGAAAAATCACAGGCAGAGATTAAAAAGTCAACAGGCTCCAAAACAACCCTGAGCTGTCCTCTTTACATTCACGTCAATTAAATACAAAAATAAAAGTCAAATGTCCTTCAGTCCCTGGAAGGGGGCTGGATGCCAACTGTCCCAGGGACTTTGCTGTTTCAGATGGAATTCCCAGCTTCCTGCAGGAAGGAGGGTTACAGACTCCAACAATCCACTTCGGCTTGGGAAATACAAAAGACTACGTCAAACCAGCTACATACAAAATTGTGAATCAGTCAAGCCTTTTTATTCTCCTCTTAAATAAAATGCATACTTATAAATATGAAATACTGCACATCCTAGCTGTCTACTGCAGAGCCGTGAGAGAGGGGTGCACTGTGGGAACTGGTCTACAGAAACAAAAAAGAAATCTTAGGATTGTTGCTTTTTTTTTTTCTCCTTCTCTTTTGAAAGGTGTTACCTAAAACCAGTAAAGAGAAAAAAGGTATAATGGTAAAAATGAAGTATCCATCCCTAATGCGAAGACCGGTGAAGCGTGCTGCCAGACATGAACTTGAGAATTAACCTTACTGTCAATGGCTTGATTGATTAAACTGGCCGGGAGAGAAAAAGATGCATTTATGGTCAAGAACATGTTTTTACTAAAAACAAAACAAAACAAAAAAAACTCTTCATTTGTGGAAGTAGGTATTTCATGGAAAACAACCAGAGTGTAGTCTGTAAACTAAAATACAGTGTTTCTATACCATAGACTCACTTGAGGCTCATCGGCCTTACTGAAGTGTATCACACATCTGTCTTGAACTACGCATGTGTCCCTCCCAGTTTCTTAGGGAGCACTTCAGCGGGCTGCATTCGGACAATCCAGTGGCTAGCCCAGGTTCAAGGGGGACAGTCAGGTGCTGTGTCGGAAAGGAAAAGCCTTTTGCTCGCCACAGTCATCTGTATACTTGTCAAGCAAGTGCTGTCTGCATTGCAAGGGTCAAGCCTTAAGATAATGGCCACCCTCATGCCTGACAACTAAGGGCACACAGCAAAGGGTCCACCGTGGGGCCACGGGACCCAGTGACAACTCAAGCCAGCGTCTGATTCATTTCCCAGAGCGGGATGCAAATGTCACATCATTAAACTCCCCAGTGTCCATAACCAGGGCCAGCAGAGATGCTGCTGCTGGACACCTTCCATCTGCTGGCTTATGGAGGTTTCAGCAGGACACTGGAGGTTGTCAAACAAGGACCTGTAAATACTGGCCTCTGCAGTGTTTCCTTGTCTTTACCACCATGGAAACCCACAGTGACACAAAGCCAGGCAGGTGCCATTTTCTTTTTAGATCCACTAATTCCTCGAGGGAGATCAGTCATGAAATGGCTCAGGCCACTGCAGAGGGTAAGGCAGGGGTCATTCTAGCACAGCTGTGGCTGTGGAAATGCTAGGCTGAGGGTGCCCAGTAGACAACATGGCATCCACTGTCTGTGGATGGTGGGCACAAGAGTGTCCCGAGGTGTCTGGCTTATACCAGTCTAGAGGCAAGGTCAATCAGCCATTCAGCCATGTGGTATTTGCTGGGGAACAGTGAATTTTCCCAAGTAATAAAGCCCCCTGCACTAGACACACTAATAACTAAAGGACCAGATACCTGTGCTAGAGCCATGATTGACAGACTGTGGGAGCCTGAGTCTGCAAAACGTGTCAGATGCTGACCACAGTTGACACCTTTTATTTAATTTTTTTTAAAAAAAAAGCTTTTCAAGTATACTGGGAAGGGCTGGGGGTGGTCTATAATTTGGTAGCCAAATCCACACTGTGGCAACCTCAGCAGGTACGGGGTACCCTTGGAAAAAACCTTTGGGAACCCACTTTTTTTTTTTTGGCTGAAGTCTGCCAATTCCAAACTTTTTCTGTCTCATTAAAAGTTGCAAAGCCACAACCCCACCTACCACAGGCTGAAATACAATATTGATAACGAAGGAGGAGTGCAAAAAGTGATCAATACAAAAAAAGTAAACATATCAGTTTTAATTGTCAAGATTATTCCAGGGCAAGAGTTCACTTCGAAATCACTTCTCTCCGGTTCTCATTCGTAAGTTAAGTGGCCTAGCCAAGATGGTCATTCCAGTTTATTCTCACACTTGTGCCGATCTCTCATCCCTCCCTAATTTGGCTGATGCAGAGGGAGGTGATCTTTTTGGAATACACAGCAGCAAATCATCACAAAGTCCAACAAACTAGTCGATCTTGGTCGGTTGGCACCAAATGAACCCATGTTTCTGAGTCCCAGGGTGCGGAATAGATGTGTGTTCTTGTCTTCATTCCAGTGTTCGCTTCCTCCAGCCTCAACCGAGAGGACCTGTGAGGTCATAAGGCCACTCGGGTGCAGTGGTGCTTCAGTTTGCAAGGCAGGACTCCTTTGTTGAGCTGGTAAAAGTCAACCAGCTGGATCAGGTCAGAGAACTTGGTGTTCCCGTCGTCCAGGCTGAAAAACGTCTGTCCATCGTCCTCGCACTGGAGAGACACAAAAAACACTTGCCAAATTAGAGGAAACCACTTCATGAAGCAGCTGGGGGCAGGGGGCAGGTCTTGGGCAATAGCATCTTTGGTCACAGTTTGGTTCCTGAGGGATTCACAGTAGGCCAGAAAACACAGGGGTAGGAAGGTCGGGGAGTGGGGTGTCTCTGCTGAATGGTGCCACATCGCTGGGCAAGTCCTTTAGAATGGTAATTCTGCATTTGCATATAGTGTTTGGGGGAACCTGGGAAGCCAGAGCCCAACCCAAGGTTCTGTTCCTTCCCCCAAGTATAGGGAAGGAAGCACTCATCTTCCTTATCTGAAAAGTGGGTATGTCAGGACTTAGCAGAAAGAAGAGGGCCATGGGGCAGGTTCACAAATCTTAGCCAGACACCCTCCTCATCTCTCACTACCCTGTAGCTTCCACTCCTCATGTGATTCTTGAGACTGAAGTCACAAGTTTTGGGAGTCAAGTATGGTGGGAAAACCCCAGGTCAAAGACATGACTTTTGTTGTATTTGTGGGCAGAATGAGTCTCAAAAAGGAGGCCAGCTGGCTGCCTTTTTCTGGCAGAATATTTCCTGAGTTTAGGTCCCATAGGAAACATATCATGACAGTTATCTAAATCTGCAGAATCTATCAATAATTTAACCCATTTGATATTAATTTTACCATTACCCCCATGCTCCACTAAACTCTGGAGGCAGGTGACATTATACCTTAACCATGAAGCGGAATTTGAACCTTGGCACACTACAACGAGGGTGAAACTATATATTGGGCAGTCTATCAATAATGTATTCGCTTTAAAAAAAAAATCGGTATTGGGGATGGATTCTGTAATGATGAGGCAGAACCGTTCACCACTAGAACTTGTTTTCTGAGTCAATGACCAGGTGCCATAAGGGGTACAATTCTCTCTGGAGGGGCTACTTGGCCAGTGGTGATTTTTTTTTTTTAACAGTAATTTTCTGGAGTAACGCAGGTGCATACCAGCTTGAACTAGACAATTCTTTAGTTGTAAGGGGCCAAGATCACACAAGCTACACGGTTCCCGTTTCATCATAGCGGTGTCTCTCAGCAGTAGTCACCCTCCACATCCTCCCACCCTCTGACCTCGATACTCCTAGTTAGGTGGCAGTGCAGTTATACCTGTGAGCTGAAAGGTGAGTGGGAAGCTTCCCATGATAGCACCACCTTCAGCATCTCTTCTAGGGAAAACACTGTGTTAAGTTCAACCAACCAACCCTCACAGAAACTCTTGAAATTGCTTACCTGTGGGCTGGAAACGGCTGTATGCCCTTCTAAAGTCTTGCTACTTTCTGACTTGAAAACCGCATTAGGAATGAAACCAGAACATCCAGAAGTAAGGAGAGATATTGAAAATATCAATACTTACAGGTAAGATCTGGAAATTTTTAATTTTCTGGTGATGACACAGTGTGAGTACAAATGCCTTTGGATTACTCTGGCTGTCACGGAGGAGGAAGAGCCTGGGAAGGAAAACCCCACGATGGACTGTTAAGAACTTTTAAAATCCAAGAGTCATTACACACACACACTAGCCTATCTCACAAGGTGAACTGATGACACCTTGGTGCTTTGGCGTCTGAGTGGCAATATTACTCAGTACCTGGTCAAAATGTCATTCTTCATTGAAAGGAACCAGGAACCCTGAGGACACAGTAAATGCCAGGGCTTAGGTAGGGACACTATAGGAGAAGCTGGACAGTTCTGTAGAAGAAAGTCAAGAAGTACTCAAAGAATGATGGGCAGGTCAAACGACCTGTGATCCCCCAAAACAAATCACAGAAGCAATGGCTTAAAACACATAGAACAGGAATCCACAAATTCACACAGCTATCTGAAATAAATAAATTTGTAAGGAGAAAAAAAGCATGTCCTTAGAGGAGAATGCTAGTGACAAAAAAACAGGACTAATGGATCAGGAAATCACCAGCTGTCAATGACAACAGTGACTGTTGACTAAGGAGAGACCTTCCCCAGATGCTAAAACCAGCAGATGAAAGCTTGCCAAGAAACAGAAGAAATTCCTAATTTCATCCCATCTTACTCTTAATATTTTTGTAACATATTTATACATTAACCTTACAGTTTAGAACAGTTTAGAAACCATGTTTCTAAACTGTCTTCATGAAGTATTCAAATTTCCACCATCAGGAGTAGGACAAATGGCCCTTAGGTGCCTCCTGTCACCTGTACTGCTCCCCAAGACCACAGGAGCCGCTCTAACCCCAAGGACATACCTACTGCAAGCCGGAACACATTCTGTAAGAATAAGTGACTTCAGCTCCTGACTGTGAACCATACAGGGACAGGAGACCCCGTAGCCAGGACTGTGAATATTTTTCTTTTGCTATAAAAGATTCAATTAGGAGCACTGGTAAAATCTAAGTGCAGAGAAGCTAACAAAACTGTATCAGTGTTGACTTTCTAATTTTTACAATGGCACTGTGCTTATGAAAGAGAAGTCCTGTTCTTAGAAATTGATGTTGAAATATTTAGAAATAAAGGGGTATCAAGCTACAATGCCTTTCAAATGATTTGCAAAAAGATTCACAGAGAAAAGGTGATAAAGTAGACATGTTGTCATGTGAACAGCTGAGTGTCCTGGGTCACGTACTTAAGGAGTTCTTTGTATTATTCTTGTAGCTTTTCTACAACCTTAAAATGATTACAAATAAATAACCAAAATAGCACAAAAAAAGCATAAAGTCATTGCTTTCCTATGAACAAATCTGGATAGCTAATAAGACAGACAGTTGGACATCAGAAAGCAAGAGAAGAAAAGTCTCAAAGCCCTAATATGTACTGAAAGAAATTAGGAATCAAAATACCAAACGCAGCTAAATCAGCAGTTTCTAGATTCAAATAGAAGGCAATAAAATAGGACTGGAAAACCTTCCCTTGAAAGATAAACACTTTTTTTTTCAACAGCACTTCTCAGGTCTTTAAAATTCAAATATTCATTGTGGATATTAGTGCAGGATTTCTCAGAGCCTTTAAAATGCAGCTAATCCATCTTGATTCTCTAAGGGCTCCACCACAGTTTCCAATCTCATCTAACTACATAACCCCCTTTGCCCAGCATTTTGCAGGAACTTGTACTCTTCAGAATATACTTTGAGAAACACCAAACAGAACAGAATTCTGTGGTGTGGCTTGGTCAGTTTGTAGGGGACAGTGGTTAAGAATCATGGATCATTTGTGAAATGTACTCCACAGCAGGGCAGGAGGAAAAGTTGCCTCTCCCAGGCTCCTCCACCCACCTCCAAGAGTCACCTTCTTTTCCCATGAAAATATTGTCATGTCATTGCAAATCAAATGCCATGGTTACTCTGTTACTTGCAAAAACACAGAAGTTTGCAGTAAAAAGATAGGGCTGTCTCTTTCTGTCATTGCCTGCTATTTCCTTCCTCAGACAGGAAGCTAGGGACAAATGTGAGGTGGCTGAGGACTGAGAGGGGCAGGTTCCAGATGCACACTGCCTGCCTCCCAGTTTTAGGGTGTGAACCCTGGCAATCCTCAGGCTGCCTCAAGGCTGGCCTTTATGGGCAGTGCTAGCAGGCTGTCTAACCCAGGGGAGTCCCCTGGCTCCAAAGTTACCAAGAAGCCTAGCTTCGTCACTTGTTGGCTTCCTTGTTGGTCCTGCTTATCCACCTCAGTTTTGTCATCTGCCACTGGCAGTGTACGCTTCTAGTGCCCGGCCGCCATTCAGAAGGTCATGGCTTGAAGCACAGGTCATTATGCACTCTGCCCCATGTATGATGGGTTCAAGTGCAGTCATTAAACGACCAAGAGAATGCCATCAGTCACCTGCCTAGGGGACAGGGCTGTGGGAAGCACAGTGGCAAGACCCAGGGGGCTTCTCACTTTTATGAAGGACTGATATCATGATGCTTCTTAAAGAATTGAGTCTCTCTCAGGCCAGGTGCTGACGGTGACCGAGGTTAAGAACACAGCTCATGTTTGTAAGAGGGGTTCTGATAGAAGCCTTTTCTATCTGTATGAACCCCTTCTGTCCTCACAGTGACGCTGCTGATCTCATTTTAGGATGTAGGAAGCAGGACACAGAGAAGTTAAGTGACTCCCCCAAGATCATGAAAATTCCCCCAAGGTCACGCACACAGACCAACCCTGAGGGGGATAAAAAAAAACTTTCAAAAACTCAAGCCTTGCCTGAGAAGTTTCCCTCCAGCAAATGGAAGGATGCGGAGGGTGGGGAGAGTGAGAGGAGGACGGCCTTTGTCCTGAAAGGGTTAGAAGGAGCTGCCGGGTTGTAGAAGGGTAGACAGAGTAAGGTTTGGTCTTCTCAGGAAGGTTCTGGTCTGGGCTGTGGACAGCAAGACAGGAAGGATGCAAGCTGTGAACTCAGCGTACCCTGGTGCATGTACACACGCATGTATATGCACTCTACACATGTGTGGGCATGGCCCTGTGTACAGGGTGGGGCCATCTGCATCCCAGGAGGCTGCAATGGCTATAACCTTCTGGCCCTGCTCTCCAGCTCTGCAAATCACCTGAGGCTGAAGTGACAGGAGATGCTTTCACAGCATCTGTTAGTCTTGCTTTCTTTCCATTGTCTGATGCTCTACCTTGGGGTGTCTTCATTTTTCTCTCAGGGATCAGTACAGATTTGAAATGGACTATTTGGTTCATCATTTTTTGCAAACATATTTCCTCCCCAGCCCTCAGAAGCTGAGCACCCATGTGACAAAGCCTGGACTAGCCTCACATTTGTATGTTTGGTTTTTGCTAGCAATCCTCAGTCTAACATCTGAACTGGAAATTACAGCCTTAGTGACAACCGAGACTCCAAAGAGGACAAACAGAAAGTACTGCTTACAAATGAGACACAGGTCACCAGAAGGGTTGATGTAGAGGGAGGAAAGTCACAGAGGCAAAACTCTCATCTCCTCACGAGGAAGGCCTGCCACTTGGGCTAAAACCCAAGTACAAGTTGAATGACAGAAAACAGACATGGCTAGGAAAAAAAAGGAGCTGGCCCTTTTGTGATTCACGTGATCAAACTTGCCAACTTGTAGCACAGGTTGGGCCTTGTCTCCTTCATGCTGGAAGTTTCTTCCAGATACACCTGCTCCCATACCTACTTGCCTAAGACTGAGACAAGTCCACTCCTGGGGCACCTGGTGAGTGCCCCTGTGGAGCCTGTGCTTCTCAGGCAGTGTGATGTCACTTGGCAAGGGGACCACTGGGCTCCTTAATGGATTCCAGACAGGACATTAGCAGTGACATCACTGGAACATTCTAAAGCCCACTTCCAATGGGATGAGAGATAATACACGGTGCAAGAAAACACGCACACACACACACCCCTAAACTCAAAAATGTCACAGGAAAAGGAACTTCAAATGTTCAGCTTTTCTGTCCTTAGGCACACAGAAATTCTAGAGGAGAAGGATCCCTTTCTGTAGTTAGGAGAAGAGACAGTTCTAATGGTTTAAAAGAGACCACTCCACAATACAGTGGACATCTCAAGGGCACAACTCTGGAATAATTTTATAGCCACATGGGAAACATAATCAAAAGACACCCATTCTTTAGAGTACATAAGGATAAATAACTCCAAGTGCATCTGCGACCTAATAAAAAACAAAGCCAAAAATGAATAAACAAGGAAGGAAAGAAGAATGGACAGAAGGCAGGAAGGAGACAATAGAAGGACTAGAAGATAACAGGAAGGAACTTCTTTATGATTCAAGAATGGGAAAAACAAAAGCACTTGCAACTTGAAAAATAAGTTAGACAAATGGGCAAAAGGTAGAAACCATTCAGAACTACAAAAAAAGAGAAAGAAACCTAAATAGTCTTTAGGCACACGGGAAGAGGCTCTCAGCGTGCCTCTTGAGAGACATGCAAATTCTGCAGAGGCATGGGAAACAGTCCCTCCCTGTGCACTTCTGGTGGGACAGACATGTGTACAAACCCCAGCAAGGGAGAGCAGGAACTAGTTCACAATCTTAAATGAGACTTTGCTCTCCACCCAACAGTCCCACTTCTAAGAACTTCCCAGCAAAGAGGTGTCAGTTTCCTGTCATAACACAGAGGACCAGCTGAAGATCTTATGAAGATATTCATAAGACACTTCCATGAGAATGGAAATGTGGAAGACCTTCCACGTTTTGCTCAGGGACAATCTTCAGGGCAGAGTTTGGAGGAAAATGTTCAATTAGGGAACGTAATGTTTAGAAAGGAGCTGAGTAGGAAAACATATGTATTTTGCTTGTATTTAAAAAAAAAACAGAATAAACACACACTAATAAAAATGGTAACCTATTGTAGGGTTGGGGAATGGGCAGGCTAGAGTTGATAGGCTTTGTCCTACTGTTTTGACATGGACATGGAAATGTTTTCCCTAATTTAAAATGCATTGAAAGATCCTACATAAAATAAATGAGATCCACTCATAAACACCAAATGTCACTTGGAATAAACGAACCTAAGTCACAGTTTGGTGGCAGAACCAGAGGGAAGAATTACATTACGTTTAACACAGTATGTCAATACCCTTTAAGGTACATGCCTACAATACCCCTTAAGGGTTAAAAAGACTGCAAAGAAGTCTCAATTCAGGAGTCTTGTTGAATTAATATCAGTATTAATAGTTTCAAGATAGTGAAAATATTTCACCTTGATACATCACAAATACATATGAGCATATATAAATAATTAATGTTAACCAAGATTTTCAGAGTAAAAGAGAAACAATAAAATCAATTCAGTTAAAACTCTATAATCTCAAATTTGAATTGAACTCATAATTTACCTTTGGGCTTTAAAAAAAGCCTAGGACTGGGCATGTGGCTCAGTGGTATAGAACTCTCTTGGCATTCATAAGACCTTGAGCTATATGCTAGCTCTGTCCAATGAAAAGACCCAAAGGTTGTGGCTTCTAGATACCATGTCCTACTGGAAAGAATGAAGGTTTCTAAGAGAAGTTGTGACAGGAGCCTAAAACATCTTGTCACACCTGAAATCAAATACTAATAGTGTTGGATAAAAAGAACTCAGGAACCAACTTGAAAGGTGTCCAATGGCTGATGTGCACCAAACTGAGCATCAAGGTGTTTGACTGAAAATAAACCAAACAAAGATCTAAGATCGAAGTGACAGTTAAGAATGAACAGGATGGGGTGTGACCTAAGTGGTAGAGGACCTGCTTTAACAAGTACGAGTCCATGACAGAGAGACAGAGAAAAAAGAACACACACACACTAGTGGAAGATGGTGTGAAATCAAGTCTATGGTGCCTTTTCCAGGAAACTAAATATATGAGGAGGGAAATTTTAGCTAATCAGCTCTAAAGGAATAATAGAACCTGAAAAATGACAACTTTTGAGCCCCTAATGAAAGAGAAGTTTAACCAATGGGAACTAAAACCATGGGGTAGAGATGAGTGGAGTTGTCTGAGGGAAGGCTCAACCCTCACATGATGGTGAGGACAGAGACTCCATCTTCCTTTGAGGCAACAGAGCACACAGCACTGTTCGGAAGCAACTCTCATACCCCAAAGACCAATGTCTGACCACCCCCTCTCAGGAATACAGGAGATGGAGGAACATATTAAAGAAAAGTACAAGTGTGCAATTAGCAAATGACCCACTTCTTCAACACACACAAGATCAAAAAAACGAAGAAAAAGAGATGAGAGGCAAAGACACTTAGCCAAACGCAATTTATAAATCCCAGTTTCAATGAACTATGGTAATTTGAAGATGGGTTGGATTTTAGATGATAGGAATTCTTTGTTAAGTGTAATAAAGATATTATGTCAGAACAAAAGGGTCTTTATTTTTTTGAGATCTAGGCACTGATATATATTTATTGGTAAAACCTTAGGACTTTTGAGATTTCCTTTTGAAGGAAAAGGAAGGAGGCAAAGGATGAAAAAATGTAGAAGGAGAAAAGATAAAATAAGTTTGGTGAATTATTGAAGATGGGCAATGGGGACTCATTGTTTTTCTCTCTTAGAAAAATTTCTAATGAACCTTTCTTTCTTTTTTTTTGTTTTTTTTACCAGAAGGTCACTCTGGGACCACTCTGATAAGTGGACTAGGGCATCCTGCACTCTGAGGTATGGGGCTGCTACAGTAGCTCCTCCCTGCTGATTACATGGCCACACGTGCCCACACCCTCACCTGGGGCAGACCTTCCTTTGGTCATGCTTAGCCTTGCCTGGGGTGGCCTTTGTCTTGGCCAATGGGACAGTAGCAAACAGTGTAGAGAGACGTGAGTTGTGCTACTGCTTGTGCACAGAGGACCAACCTCTCTAACTGGTGCTGGTGGGGGTGAGAGGCTGGGACAGCCATGATGGGAATGATTCCAGGTTAGCCTGCAGCAAACATGTGTGCCCAGTCACCAGCCAAGCTGGCCAATAGCCTCCACAGTCTACCACACATCTAAGCGAAGCCATCCATGGTCTAGCCTGACTGTCCTAGCCCAGGTGAGAAAGGCCACGCACTCAACCAATCACAGCTGTGAGATATGAAACTTCTTTGCATTTGTAGATCACCTCCGTTTGAGGCTGTTCGTTCTCAGTCAAAGGTAACTGATGACATACACAAATCAAAAAGTGTAGCAAAAAAAAGTTCTTTTTATTTGTCTGCTGCCTTGCAAAAAGTAAAAATAACTAGTCTTGTGTTTTACATCTGTTCAAACTTCTAAGTGGTAGGGATAATTCTAGATACAACCTGGACATATAGGAATTAGAACCCCCTCTGTCCCTTCCTAACTAAGAAGAGCACTGCACCTCCTAGCTTAGATATCTCCTCTTTAAAATGAGGGTGAAACCACGGCCTCCCTGGGCAGGTTATTTAAAATGAAGAACACAAGCTGAGAGCAATGAAACCTCAAAAGACAGATCAGTGGACCATCCTTACCCGTCTACAAGGCCTTGCTGTTTGATGAGCCTGTGCGATTCTTCTCTGGTGATCCGGCCATGAAACCAGTGCTGAGTCCTGTGAATCACTGTGAGGATGAGGAGAGGAAGAGAGGGAGAGGGGATGTGGCACCTCTGCACAGAGCCCTCCCAGAGGAGCTTGACTCCTGAGGCTGTAGCACTGTGCTGCACTCCAGCCCACGCACTACCATGACACTCAGGGGACGGGTGGAGGTCAGGGTTACAATAATACGGCTGAGTCACCATGTTTACCTGTACTTAGGGTGGAAGGGTGGAGGGGACTTTGGCTACCCAGGATATTCATCCGCATACTTCGCTTCTGTAAAAGAAATGTCCATGTCAGCAGCAAAGATGACAGACTGCCACACCAAGTCACCTAGCATCCAACCTCAGAGCAGGGTTCTGAAGTTCTTAACCCACAAGCACCCTCAACTGAGCACTGAGAATGAAACACAGTGGTTAGAAACAAAACCAAAACCATCCTGGCATATTTCTACCCTTCCCAGAATTGAAGCAGTGACATGTTTCTCGTACAGAGGACTGAAAAGCAGGACAATCCTGAAAAATCTCAGCAGAAAAAGCTTGAGCTTTTCCATTAAGCTCAGGCAGTGTGCTCAAACACTGGTGTCCAGAACACCAGTGCTTGGGGACTTTCTCCTTTTCCCCACACTCTGAGGCTAACATCCCAGGAAGGCTTTCCAAGCCACAGCCCACGGCTCTCATGTCTCAGGATAATTTTAAAGATAGGTGACATGTTCTTCCCACCTGGAGATTTAGGATTTGAGCCTCGGACATAAAGAGAATTCTACTTGGGGTAAAGTGTGACATGAATGCCTGTCTGCCTCATCGGGCCCAGCTCTGTGTCCTCCATGGACAGCCACTGATGACTTACCAGCAGGAACAGTTCTGCCCATGCGTCAAAGAGGGCAAAGAGCTCTGTTCCTCTCTTGCCTCTTCTCTGGGACCCTGATAACAGGGGACCTAGCTGGGGACGGAGGAATGAAAGATCCACAAGGGCGAGCTATGCCCACCACCTACCACCCACAGAACAATTCTTCTGGGAGAAGGCCAGTGGGCAGGAGGTACCAGCCCATGAAGGAGCCTTTCTTGGTGTGACCAGGACTAGGGCCTTACCCGCCAGGCATGGCCCTCTTCCAGGGCGGCACTCTGGGCTTCAGCCGGATTCTCTATCACTCTTCCTGTTTGCCCAGAGAAGTCCATCGCCACAAGGGAGTTCTCAGAGACACTGCGCTGCAAAGGAAAGGCCAGGGGTGGTTAAGATTCAGGGAAGGTATCTACGCAGTATGCTCAAGAGTACTGGCAGCAAAGTAGAAGGAAATTTTTCATTTGCAAGTAAATGGATGGAACTGGAGAACATTATCTTAAGTGAAGTTAGCCAAGCTCAGAAAGACAAAGGCTGCATGTTTTCTCTCATATGTGGAATATAGACTCAATACAAATACAGCTATATCATGAAAAATATAAGGGGAGGTCAAATATAAGAGGGAGAGGGTAAAAGAAAGAGGTTAAGAAGGTGAATATTGTGGTATACTCTCTGTATAAGAATGAATATAGATTTTTTAAACCTGTTGAAACCACCATAAGAATGGGACTAAGGCAGAAGGAAGAAAAATAGAGCCGATGAACCAATTTGGGTTATAATACATATATACATGGAAATGTCACAAGGAAACTCCCAGAATAGTTATCTTAAATGAACAAAAATGTCTTTTTTTTTTTTTTTTTTTTACAAAATCAAAGTGCAGAACAGGTCCTGTCTGGGGGGGTTTGGTACCAGTGGGAGGGGGGAGGAGGTAGGGAAAGGTCATGGGAAGGTGAACCTGGTACAAATACTGTGTACACATGTATGTAAATGGAAAAATGACACCTGTTGAAATTATTCCAGGAATCTGAGAAGGGGAGGAAAGGAGAGCAGTGGAGGGGGTGAACTGAATATATATATTTGATATATGGTAAGAACTTTTGTAAATGCCACAATGTACCCCCACCCAGCACAATTAAAAAAAAAAAAAAGAGTCCTGGCAGAAAGCCAACATAAAGATGGTGGGAAATGGTGCTATAGAGTCCCTCTGCTTCCCTGATTCAGGTTGAAAATTCATTAGGTTGGGTTGAGTTTTGTTAAAAAATAAATAAATAAATAAATAAAAGAAACATTCTCATTTTCTCATAGTAGTCAAAGGCTGCTGGTTAGAACACTTGGTGCTAGTAAAATTTGGAATATATATGGTCCTTCACTTGCTTCTTAACTTTTCCTAAAAGACATCCAAGAAATGAGACTGGCCAGGGTAAGCCCCATCTTCATCCACAGATCAAGCCCTCAGGTGCATTAGTTCAGGAAGCAAGCACCAGGCTCTTTCTGTGACACCACCTGTCATCTCCTAGGAGCAAACACTGAAGGCTCTTTAAGATCAGGTTTTGAGAGGATTGTGTGTTTCCACATGGTTTGAAAAGGATCAGGTGTGATTATAATCTCTATAATTCCCATCAGTGAACAACTTCAGCATAATGTGCAACAGCACTCAAGGGTCCCATGCATGGTTTGAAGGAACAAAAACCAAAGACAAGAAAGCTAGCTTCTGTAGAGCTCTCAACATTTCTGAGCAAGTAAAGTAGGCCATCTACCTAAATAATCCTGTGTGGAGATGCAGGGGTGGGAAGAAGGGTGGAAGGTAAATTTCCTCCCTGCACACATGCTGTTGAGACTGTAAAACCCAGCTCCTGGAAAATGGAACATCTGGGACATGCTGGCTTCTCTGGAAGGCACACTACTCATTCTGGAGTGTCTCTTGGCCACCCCATGTGAAATGAGATATTCACAACACATGGTGAAGCAGCAGCTGAAAAAGAACTTGACGACTGGGAGCCACACCTCTACTTACCACGGGTGTGGAGAAGGGAGACAGCAAGGCTTTTCTCTGTTGTGGGATGCGGTAGTTCTGGTACAGAAGCATTCCATACTGAAGGAGAAAGAACAGAGTCAGTGGCATGGCCTGTGAGCACCCAAGGCCCCAGCCCACAGCAAACACCATAGCTGAGAAGGGCAGTGTTGAATGAGAACAGCAAATAACTCCCTGTTAACATCCCCCATGAACTGACCACATTCAAGATGGTGTGTTTCTGCCAGTCCTGCCTCAGTTCTGTCACCCAGAGGAGAGGAAGGCTGACTGGTTTGGGACCATTGGGTTGGGAGGGAAGCAGGGCAGCTGATGGCTATAATTGTGACAAGATCAAGAACTCAATAAAGTTAATTGTTTGTGATCTTGTCACTATTATAATCATCAACTTTATTGAGTGCTACTATCAGTCAATAACTATCCTAAGTGATTAATATAATTTAAGCAACTCCATTTTATGAGCTATGTACTATAACTATCCCCATTTTATAGATAAATGGAGCTGAAATTCAGAGAAATGAGCCAAGTAATCCAATGTCACTGGAAACTCAGGATTCAGGATTCAAATGTACATAGATAGCCTGTTCCAAAGCAAGGGTTTCCCCAACCACCAGGCTTATAGCTTAGCCAGGTCAGTCTGTACTTCATTTGTCTTAGCAATAAGAACTAAGGGCTCTGCAAAGTCTCACATACATCCAACATACCAACCAATACTCCCAAATGACTGACTTAAACCACCAGCTTGGAATATTAAAACAACAACACAATGAACCAGGAAAAGGAAACAAAGTTATCAAGTGGGGTGCATCCTCCTCTTGATTTCCTTCATGGGATGTAAGCTCCGTTCCAGCTCTAGGTCTTATGGTCTGTACTCATTTCTAAAATATAAACCTGCAGAACACGACAGAACTGTATGACATGGGTAGAACTGCACCCCTGTGAGAGGAGAAGAGTGGTAACAGGTCAGGAGATGTATTCCAAGTGATGATGGTTGAGAATTCTTCAAATTTGACAACAACAACAAAAATCAAACTACAGATTCAAGGAATAGAATAAAAAAATCTGAAACCCAGACATGTCATGGAAAGACTGCCACAGATGAAGAGAAAACTTCAAGAGCAACCAGAGAAAAACATACATTATTTTCTCAGAAGCACTAAGGAAGGACAAGTAACATTGTTACATGAACAATGAGACTCAGAAGACAATGGACTGGTGAGAATACAGGAGAAAACAGTCATAACCAGTGAGAAGTGTATTAAAAACATGGGTGAAATGAAAATTAAGAACATTTCATAGGCTTTCAATAAAGATTTGCTAGGCTGAGTTCTTTTAGTCCCATAGAGAAGAGTGCAAATTTGGGAAAAAACAATCTTTATTCTGACAAGTAGTAGAGTTTGAACTCAGGGCTTTGTGCTTGCTAGGCGGGATCTTTATTGATTGACATATCTCTGGCCCTTTTTGCTCTGGTTATTTTGGAGATAGGGTCTCACTTTTTTACCCAAGATGGCTTGGGTGGTGATCTTTCCACCATACCTATGCCCAGTTTTTCTCCATTGAGATTGAATCTTGAATTTTTTGTTTGCCCAGGCTGGCCTGTAACCACTGTCCTCCTGATCACAGCCTACCAAGAGCCTACTAAGTAGCTAGGAATACAGGTGTGAGCCACAGGTGCCTGGCTAAATTTAGGAAAAACTAGAGTCTAAATACATAGAGATTAAAATAAAAATAGAGCATTTGAAACAAGAACACAATGATACATCTTCAGGTGCTTAAATAAAAGAGAATTGATATTTTCACAGAATGTTTCAATATGGGCAATGGGGGAAATGGAGTAAGTGTTTCTGTCAGGCTGCGGATGGAGGAAGGACTAAATCCTATGAGGCCTCGGGAAGTTAGAGATATGTGTTGTGATGCCCAGAGTAACCACTAGGAAATAGCAAATGGGTACATAAGAAATGGGTTGAGAGGGAAAATATAAATAAAAATATGTGATGAATCCAAACAAGTAGAAAAGGAATACAAGTGAGACAAACTGACAAAAAACAAAAGCTAGCAAGTAGAAGGTATAAATACAAAGGCAGTGGGTGTGGCTTAGCAAATGTGAGGTTCAAATATAAAGTGAGTAGGTGTGGCCCAAGCCTTTGCTAGGCAAACTTGAGACTCTGATTTCGATCCCCAGTAGCACAAAAATAAAGATCCAAACATAAATACTAATCCTCACTCTGAATGATGCAATTAACTCACAATGAATGTACCAATAAAAAGATGAAGATAATCCAAGTAAAAACGATTGTGATAGTCCTTACATATAAGAACTCAGAAAAGTAGAAAGCTATGAGAACACCCATCAAAACAAAACTGAGGAGGCTAGGCTAATATTAGAAAATACATTTTTTTTTAAGGCTAGAAACGTTGCTGGAACTAATAAAGTAAATATCACAATGACACTTTCAGATGTATCCCGAACATCTGTGGAACGCAGGGAGCCCTGGACCAAAATGTGACCTGCAAAGTGGCAGTCACACTGGAATTACATTCAGAAGTAGACCTGCAGCTTCCTAGGGCTCATGGAGAGGGGCAAAACATGGTATGTGTGTTGAGGAGCCGGAATTCTGGGCTCTCTCCCATCCTAGTGGCTACACCTTGAGCTTCAGTGTTGTCACCTGTGCAGTGGAACAGTGATGACATATACACTGTAAAGTTGCTGTGAGATGAGGTAATGGGTGTAAAGGGATGGGAGTATCTGGCCTACAGAAAATGCTATGCAACAGAAACTTTTATGCTAATACTACAATGAGGGGGCACTGTTAGCTCTACCCACTTTTTTTCCTCAGACTAGTATATTACCTCACCAAAGGTTCCTCCTTTAGTGGAACCTGCTATCTGGATTTATTATGTATTACTAAACGCAATCAAATCTGTTGCTTCAAACAGGGTACTACCACTTTTCTTTTCCATTTCTTTTTTTCTCTTTTTTTTCGCCTTTGTAGCTGGACATAGTGGCACAGGCCTTTATAATCCTAGCTACTCCAGAGGCAGGAGGATCATGAGTTTGAGGCCAGCTGGGACAAAGTTAGTGAGACCCTATCTCGAAAACAAAATGCAAACAAAAGGGCTGGAGGCATGACTTAAGTAGCAGAGAGAGCTTGTCTAGCATATGTGAGACCCTAGGGTCAATACTCAGTACTGAAAAAATAAAGCTTCTTTGCAGATTAAAAAAAAATAATCAAACACATAAAACTATTTAATAGTCTCTCTCATCTGCACAGCTGATCCGTTCTGTCCTTAGCAAACTTATTTTTCCTTGCAGTTGTATATCCTGTTTTCATATATCCCAGCAAAGACAAATAAGTACTTCAATTTTTTCCCTCCTTTATCTCCCCGCAAAATGTAGGGTACTGTACATACTGTCCTGAACTTTGTTTTCTAATTGTTAATGGATTTTCCACAACAGAACACAGAGACTAAACTCATTTTTTTAACAGCTACAGAGTAAACCTCTCAGGATGGACACCCTGTCCCTTACCTAGCCAGTTCCTCACTGATGACAGGCTTAAAACTGGGTTGTCATCAGTTTTATGACTTTAACATTCTGTATTAACACCAACATTTGCTCTTCTATGATGGAATAGTGAAATTATAATTGCACTGATTTTTTGTGTTCTGAGTGTCTCCCAAAAACAAGATGGAGCCCTGTGGAGCTCACGTCCTGTGGTTTCCCCATGAGGTTTTGGAGCTGTCCCTCCATCTGTTCACTCATCTCCTCAGCCAACTCCCCTGAGCCTCTGAACCAGCTGAAAGGCCACTGTGGCTCACTGTGGAGCCCTCGGTCACCACATCCAACAGCCACAGTGGGACTGCAGGAAGCTCATCCTGGTCACCTCAAGTGAGTGAGCTTTACAGATGTAAGTAATTCCTAACATGTAGGACACACGGCATGCATGCAGAAAGGCTGTGTAATGTGACCATAGTGAAGACTGGGGCAAAATCATTTCAGCAATTACTATGTGGCTGCTGTCAAGAGCGTTAACCCATCTGAGAACTGAAGGCCAGGAAACTTAGCAATGGTCCCAGCGATGGCATCTCATGTCCTGGCTTTTTGGAAGCTGAGAGTCTACACGGTCATCAAAGTAACTGCTGCTGCTCTGGTTTAGAGGGGGTTCAAGTGTGGGGGGAGGCTTGGGTGCCAAGTGGTGGAACCTGTAAGAGATGGGACCTAGAGGAAAGTCCTAGATCACTGGTGATGTACCTTTGCAGGGAATCTGTTTGGGGATGTAGTTTGTTTCTGCTACATGAGCTCCCGCCTCATACACAATGTGACACAGAGAAACCCTCAATACAGCTGAGCTGATGCCAGCACACTGAGACTCCAGAACTGTGAGCTAAATAAACTTTTCTTTATAAAGTTAGCCTGCCTCAGGCATTTCATTACGGTAACAAAAAAATGGAATAACATATCTATTCTTTATATCCCAGTGGTTCTCAGTCAGGACAATCCCTTGGTGCCCAGGGTACGTGTGGCCATGTCTAGAAGCATTTTTTCTTGTCTCAACGGTGAGGGGGACTACTGCTATCTAGAGAGTAGGGGTGTTGCCAATGTTCTACAATACACAGGATTCCCTCTTCCCTGACTAAGAATTATCACCGCCCCCCCCAAAAAAAACCCAAATTGTCAATAGTGCTAAGGTTAGAAAATCTGGCTCTAATCTTCTTAATATTAGGCTCTCTGTTCAAAGCTCTTGAGATCTCACTTAGAAGGATGGGTGACTACATTTGATAAATCAAATGCTATGATAGAACAGTGAAAACATCACGAGTGTTTTTGCACCAGAACAGACCAAAGTCCGGTGGCCAGTGCTGCATCGGCACACGAGTCCCCCACACTCTGTGAGCCATCAAATACCTTGAGGAGTCTGAACGCTGTCATCCAGCAGGCCCGGCTTTGCTCGTCTTCAGCACAGAGCAGCCTCAGCTCTTTAGTTTCATTTCTGACTTTGTTTGGCTGTAGAAGGTAAAAGAAAACAAATTAGTGCAACACAGCAAGGAGGAATCAGACTCAAGCCACAGGCTACCAGCTGGATGTCACCCAAGCAGGGAGCACAGTAGGTAAGAGTTCATCCATGCACCTGCTTGACAAGCCTTTATTAAGGATCAGTCACAGCCCAGCCTTGGGCTTCTGCAATTCCTTTTCCCTTTAGCTGAAGAATAAGTCCTCCCTGATGGAATTTCAGAGGCATCAGAAAGCAGAGCAAAGGCTATGAGTAGGGTGAACATGGTGAACAAAGAGGAAGGCATCCACTGCTGTGGAGGGAACTCTGGAGTCTATGGGGACAATCAGCCTCCCCAATTACAGAAGCAAAGATCTCCAGTCACCTCCTGAGACAGAGTAGCTGGGTGCGGTGCCTTGCATGGTTAAGCTGGCAAGGGGGGAAAAGTCCCTGAGCACCTCCAGTTTGTGGAGTGTCCAAGTTTCCCCAGGGATGCCCACAAACAGAAGTCCAAAGAGTGAGACCAATGCCCACCCTGAGAAGGGGTCTGAGGTGGAAGCAAATGGGCTGGGCAGGTGGGGAAAATGTCACAGCTCCTGCAGTCACAGAGAGGGGACAGGTACACCCAGCAGAGACAGGGTTATATGTCAATAGTGTCAAGGTTAGAAAACCTGGCTCTACCCTTCTTAATATTAGGCTCTCTGTTCAAAGCTCTTGAGATCTCACTTAGAAGGATGGGTGACTACATTTGATAAATCAAATGCTATGATAGAACAGTGAAAATATCACGAGTGTTTTTGCACCAGAAGACCAAAGTCCAGTGGCCAGTGCTGCATCCGGCATGCGAGTCCCCCACACTCTGTGAGCCATCAAATACCTTGAGGTATTTGCTACAGGGGTACCCCAACCTGGACTTCTACATGAAAATCTTACCTCTCCGCAGAGAACAGTGTCACAGGGAAGGGGAAGAGCTCTCTACTTTGGGAATTTGGAGGACTGAAGGTCACCCTGCATTCAGTTGGGATTTTGGTCTGCAGAAAAGGAGTGCCACCAGTGTGGGCTGGTGAGAAGCAAGAGGTAATAGCTACCTGGCTCCATCTCTAGCTCCCCCTGAGGCTGCCGCAGACCTTACTTTAGCTGGTTTGAAGTATATAGCTATTACTGCAGTCTCCCCTTAACCTCATGAAACATGTTCTAAGAGTCCCAGTGGATGCCTGAAAACATGGATAGTACCCAGATCAATGAAGCACTTAACACACACTGTGGACCCAAATTTTGCAGTTGGAGGTGGGACAGCAAAATTAGCTCAGTTTTCATTTTTCAAAATTTTACAGACAAAAGTTCTCACCATGGATCTCAAAAACTTGAACCTATGATTTAAAATTTTTTTTTTACTTTTCTTATGAGATCTAAACCTTTCATGTTTTTACTTATGGGAAGCACTGTGACACCATAATAGTCAATCTGCTAACAGAGATGGCTACTATAGGTGGGTAGCAAATACACCGTGGATATACTGGACACAGGGATGCTTCATGACCTTGGTATCCTGGAATTTTCCACCTAATTTTTTTAGACCCTGTTGACCCATGGGTAACTGAAACCATTAAAATCAAAGTCATGGATAAGTGTAATACTGTACTTGCAACCAAAAGAACCTTCAGCGAGCAAGGTTTAAGATGATATCTAAGCCTATAATCCCAGCTATTCAGGAAGTAGGGACTGGGAAGATCACAGTTGGAGAGGCCAGCCTGGGCAAAAAGTTAGCAAGACCACCTCTCAACTGAGTGTGGTAGAGTCACATCTGTGGTCCCAGGTATTTGGGAGGAAACAGGTAGGGAGGATAATGGTGGTTGAAGGCCAGTCCTGGGCAAAAACATGAGACTCTACCAGAAAAACAATTAAAAGCAAAAAAGGGTTGGAGGTGTGGCTCAAGTGGTAGGGTGCCTATCTAGCAAGTGTCAGGCTCTGAGTTCAAACCCCAGGACCACCCCACTGCCAAAGATATTGTTTTAGGATGGAATTTTCTCTCTCCTGTAGCTCCTTGTATTTTGTCTTGTTCTGAGCTCTGGCTTAGAAGTTAGCCTACTGAGGTGGACTTCAAGCAGAAGTACTCACTGGCTACCCCATGTGGCAATGAGGCCAACTTAGATTAGTGAGATGATGGGTATAAAAAGTTAGAACATCTCATGCGCGGTAAGTATTCAGTATGATTATCAACAATGCCACAACTTCACCAGGGGAGAGGAGAACATGTTCCTGCCATGAATGTGTGCAAGCATGCACACTCGTGTTTGTGTGCACCTGAGAGTGTGTGTGCACATATATATTTGCATATGCCCACACAAAGGGCAGATGGTACTGTGGTTACTCTTATCTGAATAGCTTCATGACCAGAGGCCCATATGGAAAGTGCCAGCTTACTTAGTACCTGGAGATTACAGGGTGATGGACTGGGAGTGTGGGGGGTCTCCTTTCCTAATGAGCCTCCTTCTCCCATTACTTTTACCAGGCTATGGCCAAAGCCTAGCTTTGGAGGCCAAAAGCTGGTTGGCCCTCAGTCCTAGTCCACTTACTCACTAGCATTATCCATCATGTCCCTGCTTCCTCTTGTGCTTCTGAGCTACTCAAGAACCACCACATCAAAAGCACCCAGAAATGTCTGTACAGGAATGAACAAGCCCCTGTGAGACTATGTTTCTGCTAAAAACAAAAGGCGCCACGCCAAGTGCTGGGCGGGAGAGGACCCCATGGCTTTCATTCCCATGTCCAGTCTGCGGACAGCCCTGCGGCACAGCACCTTGATGCAGAGCCCGTGGTCCGTGGGAGCACTGTACTGCTTCTTCCCCGCGATCAGGGAGAACACATTGCTGTCCTCCAGATCAGCCAGCAGCTGCAGGTGTCTGGGCTCCTGCAACAAACAGCAGTGGGGTTATTGTGTCTCAACCACAGCAGAGAACAACTGTTGTCATGTCTTTGTAAAAGCAGGGAAGCCTGTGTGTGCTAACATGCACTTCCTCAAGACAGTTCAGAGGCTGTGACCACTGCTGTGTCAAATAAGTGCTAAATGAAAACCAAATCCACCAAGCTCTCATCCAAAAATCCCACCTCTCAAATTCTCAGACACAAGCCCACTGGAAAGTATTTGTACTTCTGCCCAATCAAAGCCCCATAACCAAATATTCAAGGAAAAACGAGGAGAGAATCCATAGCCCCAAGCTACCACACCTTGGCAAGGCCACCACACCTTTGGGAGGCTAAGGGCTCAATGGTGCCATTGGTTTTCCCACCAATAGCAGGATGGCACTTCTCCTGAGCACGCCAGTCAGGTTCTGTTTCCTGCTCTAGACCACAAGCTGTTCCTGGCTTCAGTACGGAAGGGGAAGGTAACTATGTAAATCAGAGTAGGGACAACAAGACGTTGCCCTTTCCTGTCCTATAGCAGGTCAGAGCCCCTTTCTGAAGATGGCGTCCTTTCTGGCATGTACACTCAGCAGCTCCTGACTTCCCAGAGCTGCACTAGGTCAGCCTGGCACTCAGCATCCTCACCAGAGACCCCACCAGCTCCCCTCCTTCCTGGCAGAGCAGAAAAGACAGCAGCTCTTCAAAAGCAAATGCTCTTCCAAGGTTGCTTGAACAAAGCTCACTATAGGGCACGTGAGGGATGGTCACAAGAAAAGACTAGGTCTAAATGTGCAAAGAGCCCACAGGAGATGCTGGGTGAGGTCACTTTTCACATCTATAGCATTTTGTATATTTCATCTCCCCTTCCCACTGGGCATACAAACAAAACTGCAACTGACTGCAGAAAAGACATAAATAGACACGTAGGGTGGCAATCCTATGGCCAGCTTCAATCCCAAGTCAGTCTCTGCAGTGACTGAGGGAGGCCAGGAGGGCCTGCTCACAACCCATAATTGGGGGCCAGGGCCAGTGCAGGAGTGATGTGGCCCAGAGCTTTCTAGGTCTGCATGACTGCCTGGTTTCTGAAGTAGACCAGTAGGCTGGTCAACTGTATCTAGCTGGTAGGCAATTAGCTCATTAATAAGTTACTGCAAGGTTGGAGGAGACTCAGGTGCATTAAAAATCAAGGCCAAGTTCACTCTGAGTGTGCCCAGTCTGAGGTTGCCTGGGGCAGAGTCCGTGCTGGTGAGGGTGGGATTTAAAACTCACCTTTGAAGTTCCCTTGGTGGAGCAATAAAGGCCAGATCTCCGCAAACACACATACAACTTCTTCCATGACTTTCTTCCCAGCTCCTTCACATGCAAAAACCCTTGAATTTCAGGACAGCTGCTGGAGTTCAGGAAATTCTGTGGAAGAGCGAATTTTTAAAAATCGGACAATGCTCACACAAAGTGATTATAGCACAGAGGTTATGCACACAGTTAACATTTTCCAAATTAAGATACTCTTGTTCAGAGTTCACACTGAGATTTCTCCTTTCAAAAGTCTTAAAATCCCATCTACACTGGTGTCAGATGGAACATAATTTGCGTTGAAACACAGAAGGTTGTGAAATTTCTCTGTAAGACAGAACATTTCAGGATTCTGCACCTTATTTAAGACTTCTAAGAGATACCTAATTTGATCATTGGAGTTAGGACAAGAGAAAGTGCCAGGAGCAAGTGACTGGGGGCACTGTGGGTTAAGAATGAGCACCTGCCTGCCATGTTTATCTATGTATGCATCCGATGCAGAGGTCTGTAAGTGACAACTGTCAGCACACTAAGTGCTGGGGACCCATTGGCAACAGCCTACCGTCTCCACTAACTCTTCTTACAAGCAGCCTTATGGAGGAAGACTTTTTAAAATACAAGCAAACAAAAAACTCAATACTTTTACAGGGAAGAGAGGCAGAGAGCCAGGTCACAAGGGAAGTCTGGGAGGGGGTGTTGCAGAAGGTATGTTGGGGCTGTTCCTCTGCCCTGGATGAGTAGACCAAACTCTGCCACAGGTGGGAGTGCCCAGCCAGACAGAACCCTGGGGCACCTGGGTCCAGTCCTTCCAGAGTCTCAATGGACCATTGCATACCCTTACAGCATACAAATGCTCTCAGAATCAAGGCACTTAGACAGCAATTTGCATTTCACTGTCTTCATGTGTGGATAGTGATGACTGAGTCTGTTCTTCCTAGAACAGACGTGTGGTATGGCTGAGTGGCTTCTAAAACACCATGAGAACACAACTCTTTAATGCTCTCATCTTTCCAATGATGGAAAGAAACCCAGTGGTCATCGAAGCAGAAAAAAGGCACAAGATTTTGTAGGAATTGAGCTTTAGTAGTTTCTATGTGTCACTACATGGAAATTACTGGTTGTCTTTGAGAATGGTTTGTTCCCTCATTTGGCACACTGCACATAGACCCAGATCTAGGGGTGCAGCAGTGATACCTCCTTTTCCACTCCTGACTCAAGAGAAATGTGGGGCAGAGCTCAGCCCAGAGGCTCTGGTGGCCCTGTCCTCTGGTCAGGAGTGGGGGGAAAGACCAAGTTTTCTTGGAATACATTTTAGAAAATAGGACAATTAAACCAAGTGTCTTTAATTTTAATGTACAGTAAGTTATTTTTCAAAGGACTTTGTGGCAACTCAGCTTTCACTATAAGGTGGACTCAGTATTTCTGTCGTGATGTCCACCCTGTTGGGCAGTGATGCCCACAGTGAGATTTGGGCTTTCCCATCTTGCTAATGCGCCCACATTGAACAACAGCATCATGGGCTTGCTTCTAAGTTGGAGTGAGTTTATCCTGTGTAAACATGCTTCTTTGGCTTTGAGGGAGCCTGCCTACACATAAGATTTCCCAAGCAAGCACACACTTATTTCCAGTTGCATTGAATCCCACTAGCAGCCAAGGTTAATATGTGATTAAAGATGTAATCTTTTCAAGTTTTTATAAGCTGCCGTAACAGTTCCAAAAAGACTTTCATCTACAAACTTTATTTGAGCCAGAAACTCTGTTTTTGCCCCAATACCTGCAAAAGCTGGGTTTGACTGCCATTAGACTGGTGGCACCAAGTCACCATTTGTTCCGGGAAGAAGTTCTGAGGAAACAGGGAAAAAAAAATACATTTAAGTGTGGTGAAGCAACCTTCAGATCTGTTAGTACTAAAAGCATTCCTACAGGTAGTGTTACATACATTTGTATTTTAAATCATGGTCCCTTTTATTCTCTTCTCACGTGGTAGAGATACCTACTTCGAAGGGCTGTCTTCTGTTTGTTTACATGACACAGTCAAATCTGGAATATCTATTCTATGTAATATGGAATTTGTGCCTTGTGGCATGTATGCGCGCAAAAAAGGGGAGGCCGAGGTTATAATTCAGTGCTACTTTGCATGTATGAGATAAGAATTCCTGAATACAAAAGGGCCTTTTTTGCTGTGTTATCTAGAATGAGTTACCACATTTCTTTCTTTTCAATAAAAATGCAGCTCAATTTTATGACCAAGAAGTGAGTGGGCCCAGGTCTTCTCCCCAAGGTGACACTCTTCAGCCCAGGACTCAGGAGAATAAACGCTATGAAAGTTATGGGGCTTTTTATACGAGAAGATCACAGAACAGCACACCTCCCCAGAATAGAAAAGCAAAGAAAAACCAAGGTGATGACATCAACATGCCAAACCTTCAGAGTTCTCTGCTCATTTTTCCACCTATAGTCATGAGGTAATATTGGCCGTGTGTAGAGGACAACGCTGTATGTTTTGTCCATTTGTTCCACATTGACTGTGAACTCTCAAAATAACTACAAAGGCCCAGGTTTTCCCCTCTTCACTGACTTAACACTCTTTCTGTTGTCACTATTTGGGGAAGGTCACAATGGAATTTAATGAAGTGGCAGAGAGAAAGTAGGTTTTGAGCAAGGATGGCTTGGTTAAATAGCAACTCAGATTCTTAAACTCACATGCAATCCCACAAGGGCCAGTTAATTCTTTGATAATCTGATGCTATTCATCCCCCTGTGAACAAAGATGTCAATAACTCCAAATCTGAAAAGATTAGACTCACCATTGGATTCTTAAAGAACTCATACTTCGCATAATTCTTCCTGAATAAAAATTTGCTTTCACTTGCCATGGTTCCCTCCACCTGGACCACCAGTTCATGGTCTTCCAAGCACCTCTCTGTAGGGGAAAGCATCACATGAGACAGGCAGTCATTTCTGGGCAGCTGCACAATCAACGACCAAACCTGCCTGACTTCCCGCTCTTTACACACTGTAAATGAAGATGAGGAAGCCAAATTGAAATCTCTCTTTAATTACCCCCCACACCCCCCAAAGCCTTAGTGGTTTTACAGACACAGAATGCAGAATTCAGGTCAACAATGACTTTTATTTTATTTTTTTTTACACTTGACATCAACAAAAATGTTAAGGAAGGAGTCCAATGATTTTACCCTTACATTTTGAAATTTTTCAGCTTGTGTGAAGAACAACAGACTGTAACAACCGGGAAAATATTCAAAGACAAAGGAAAAGAGGAAGCAAGGGTAAGAGAGGAGGGCATGGAAGCAGGAGCTCTGTAGCAGTTTTGGTGTCCATGAAACTCGCTTGCCTGGCCCTGCCTTGGGGAATACAATACAGGAGCAGGCAGACACCATGGACCAACACACTCATCTTACAGACCTACGCCAGCCCTGACCACATCATGGACTATTCACATCAAATGGATTATCTGTGAGGACCAAGAAGAAAACACACAACACACAGAGTGCTGGCTGTGAATGACACATGGACACACACACACACACACACACACACACACACACACATCATTCGGAGCACGGTATTTAAGCACTGTTATCACTCTACAAAGCTTGGTTATTCTCCTTGCTGCTTCAACACTCTAATTCTACATGGAGCATGAGGAACTTGGCCGACAGACAGCCCAACAACATCCTTGGAGAAGGTGGGCCTCTTTGCTCTCTGATGGGCGTTACATCCCTCTCTATGGATTCCCCAAAAAGTTTAATGATGAGAACTAAACACTATGAATAAAGACAAGCTAAATTAAAATCTCTCTTCAATGCACAACCCAATGTCTAAGTGGTCTTTCATATGTAATTCTATGTAATATGTAATTCTTGCATGTGGAATTCTACGTCAAACAGAATATGTGACACAAGTGACTCTGCAGCAGGTCACCTGAGATCTGATGCCAACATGGCACAGAAAAGATTCAGGTGCTATGGAGTGATCATGGGCCAGTACTGTCCCTCCCCAAGCTTTTATCTCCCTTCTGGTGGCCAGAACCGAGTCTCTACAAGTCTTAGCTTGGAAGGGAGGGACAAAGTTGAGGGAAAAAGCATTTCCAAATCTAACGATCTCAGAATTTGGGAATTTCTCTCTCCAGAGGATAATTGCGGCCATGGTTCTCATTCCAAATGGGCCATTGCTAGTACTACAAGCAAATTCTGAGCTGATTTGACCTCAGCTTGGGTTTTGATCTGATTCCTTGGTTGAAATGTATTTAAAACCAGAATTGGTGAAGGAAAAGGAATTTTTATCCTCAGGGCTGCCAGGAAGCTCACAGAAAAGCCAGACCTGACATAACCAGCAAACCTGGAATAACTATACCCATCTACTCCTGTCTGGGAGGGGCTTCTCCCATAACATGTGAACCAAAACACACCTCTTATGTTTCTCCAGGGCAGAAAAAGAGAACAACCATGCTCAACTTGAGTACAACTAAAACATAACCCAAGACAAGTCAGTCATTCACTTAAAATGGATCTCTGGTTGGCCCAGAGGTGTGTACATGAGTGCCTATAAATAGGAGGACTGAGGTTTGAGGACAGTCCAGGCAAAAAGTTAGTGAGAGCCTATCTCAACCAATATGCTGGGTATGGTAGTTCATTCCTATAATCCCAGGTATGAGAGAAGTATAGGTAGGAGGATTGTGGCCCAAGAAGAGCCTTGAGCAAAAGTACAAGACCCTACCTGAAAAATAACTAAAGCATAAAGGGCTGGGGGCATGGCTGAAGTGGTACAGTGCCTGCCTAGCAAGTGTGAGGCCCTGAGTTCAAATCCCAGTACTACCTCCCACAAATTTTTCAGAGAGAAAATAAATCAATGACTTCTATCAGGATTTCTTATGCAAAGAAAAATTTCTTTGTCATCACAAGAAAACAAAACAAAACAAAAGTCGACAACCCAACAGCCTGATAATGACTGGCTTATAGAACAAAGTATTTTTACCACGTAAAATAAGAAGAACTAAAAAAGGGAAGGAGTATCCTAACCTACAGGATGACAGGATGGTTAGGTATGAAGCAGAAGGTATTTTTGTCTACAAACCTTGAGAAGGTAAGTGGCCCCTCCAGGAGCTGCTGAGCTGAGGCGCACAGCCATAGTGCACACAGGCTCTGGCCCTTGCTGACAGCCCCTTCTTTCCTGCCTCCCTGCTCTTGTCCTGGGAACCGTGTGGGGTCACTGCACATGGCCGTGCATGTGCACAGTGTGAAGTTTCCAGGTGGTCAGAAAGGGCTTAATACCAGGGAACTTGGTGGCCAGTGTGGCCTTGGTAACTTGCAGATTGCCTAGCCAGCCTACGCACTTCAGAAGGAGAAGGCTTCTTTCACGTGGGTCACTCTGGTGGCCCCAGAGGGCCCTGGGATCCCTATGTGTTGGTCTGGGTGAAATTGAAGCTTCTCTCTCAATTCCCGTTTCCTTTCTCAGCGTTAAGGGAACCACAGTGGGGGTCCCAGGCTGTGTGGCCACAGGCTGGTGACATGCGGCCCTGGGCAGGGTGGCCACAGCAGTCAGGGGGTGAAAAGCACCTTTGTGAAGCTCTCCTCATTTTCAACTCATGGCTACCCATAAACCTCCTGTTATTCCAGGGGCCTTGGTTAAACTGCAAGTGCTGCTTTTCACCACGAAATTCCCAAAATGCTTTTGTACACATGGAAGAGGGGAAAATTCCTTGGAGGATATTTATATTTTTCAACCTTCTGAAAGGAAGTCCAGCACTGACATAGCAACTCCACTCCATGAGGGGAAGACTAAAATGTCAACAAATACAGAAAGAAAAGTTTACTTTTTTGCCTTAGAGTATAGCTAGTGACTCTGCCAAAACCTGTGGGGTTAGGAGTAGAGGTTAGGGTTAAGGGTTAAGGGTTAGGGTGTTAGGGTTAGGGGTTAGAGGGCTATAGGTTAAGGGTTGGGTTAGGGTAAGGGTGTTAGGGGTTAAGAATTAAGGGTTAAGGGTTAGGATTGGGGTTGGTTTGGGTTAGGGTTAGAGTGTTAGGGTTAGGGGCTAGGGTTGGGGCTGGGGTTGGGGCTAGGGTTAGGGTTAGTCAGCATGGAGGGGCCAGACAGACCCAATGTGCCGGACAGGGTTGAACCCGGCATCTCCGCAGCCCACCATTGCTGCCCTCGGGCTTGCCTGTGGCCCACCTTCTAGCCCACCCAGGCCATTGCCCTTCAGTGCTGTCTAACCAAGAAGAGAGCTCTGCTCTCTTCTGCTGATAAGCTCAGAGCCTTCCAGTCTGAGAACTGGGAACAAAGTCATCGGTGAGAAAGTGTGTCTGTGAAAAGCCATCACAGGCTGGGATGAGCCCTACCAGTGACCCTTTTTCTCCCTCTATTTGCTTAGTGGGGAAATCATTTGTCATTTTCAGATGTAATGGATAGGGAGGCAGAGACAGAAAATCAGCTGAGGAAGGGCCCCACCTGAGCAGCAAGGGTCAAAAACATGCTGTTTTGCAACACCTTTCTATACAACACACACCAGCATCCAAAGTGTGGCAGCTGGAGGACACCAAAGAGCTATTGTCACACATTTCTGAACTGATAGGGAACAAACACAAAGCCATAAACAGTCCAAGAAAGTCACTGCTTTTCCTGGGGTGCTGCAGCCTAATTCACAGGACAGAGTCCCTGATACTGACAGGACTGGTTGGGACACTCTTTTTTTTTTTTTCCTGGAGTGTGTCCTCTCTTCTCTGCCTGATACCCTTGGTCACTCAAGGGAACTATCAGAGGTCTGGGTAACAATCCACTCTAGAATCTGCCTGAGAGATTTTTAAGCACCCTTTCCCTTTTGCACGAGCCACCAGTCACATGTGTCCACATTGCTATGAGAAGACTCAACACAGAACCACCCAAGAGTCACTTCCTACACAGGCAGCAATGCCTAGGGACTGCTGTGGTAGGTAGGCTGCCTTGAGCACAAGGTGAGTCCTGACTGTGTGTTCCCCAGAACCCAAGGACACACCCTACAGCATCTTCCACTACACAGAATTCCCCATAAGGCCATGGCCCTTGCACCCCATGGTGGTGGTGATGGTAGTAGAGTTGGAGGGGGTGGTTAATGCTGAGATACTTATAAGGCTCCCTTCAAGAGACCTCACAGTGCCTGTACATTCCTGCCAGTGGGACTCTGACAGTCTAATGCTGCTAAATTATGACAGAAAAAAGACTTTCCCCTAAAATAGCAACTTCACAGTTATTTTTATTTGTTTTCTTAATTCAATGACAGACTGGGGTCACAAAAAAAGCAGTCAGAGAAAGAAGTGAGAGGGATGGGTACTCAGAAGCAGCTCATGTCCTGGGGGGTGCTGAACTGACAGATGGCGTGACTTAGTGACTCTCAAAAAACTCCATGGAATCCTCTACAAAATCCAGCCAGAGGGAAATGTGTTCACTTGTCCCCAGTGAGGAAGAAACTGATGTCAGGAAAGACCATGAGGAAGACTTCAACGTCTCCAAATTGTGCCTGTATGAGACTTGTTCATTTCTTTTTGTCAAATAGGACCTAAATTTTGATCCAAATGTTCCTTTTCTTTTTAATCACTTGACTTGGTCTCCTCCTCCTCCCCTTTCCTTTAATTTTAAGGTAAAATATTATTCCTTTTAAAGTGTGTTAAACCAATTTGTGAATAAGAGAAAGAGCCAAAAGTGAGACACAGAAATATAACCCTAGGAACGTTGTATGTGCATAAATAGTGCCTTTTCTACTCCCTCAAATGAAACTGTTCATTTGGTTATTTCCAAAGTTTTAATGTATAATTTATTATTATGATATTCTAGAAATAAAGGCAATCATAAGAAATATCTGCATCCAAACCACCTTATTGTCCCTACTATGTGGTAAGTTTTTACAGTAGCTGTACCCATTTTCCAGGTAGTCTAAGTGTGCATAAGTATATTCACGTATTAAATGTACGAGTCCCTCCACAGCTCCTTTTAGAGGAAAAGGGTCTTCAGACTTCTGAACTGGCTTGTAACAATATTTATACATTTGGGTCCAACGACATAGACTCATTCTCATGGCTAACTCCATTTGGTTTTCATATATAAACACGTTCACACACATATTCACACACTCTGCAGGCTTTCCGCTATACTTAATTTCCAAGTTATCTGTGTGTCAACAGATGCTTCCGACAATCTTATTAGATCACTGTAGGATTCAGCCATCAGTGTCCCAAACTGGAGCTTAGTAGGATAGTCCATCCGTCTCCATGGGAACAAGTATGACATCACATCCACTCACTGTGGAGTGGGCCTGTTAGTGACAATGGAAAAGGCTCTGCTGTCACACCAGCAGGCTGGCGAATTGTGGAGACTGGCAAGACCAGAAAAAGTTTTATCTGCTTACTTCAAAATTGCTTTAGGTACATAAAAGTCCAGGGAGTGTTGCACAAGAGTGACTTAGAGCAGTAACACACTACTTAACCTTGAGCTGTGTACTATCTGTGGGAAGAATGCTTTTCAGTTAAATCAATAGTCCAAAGCCTACAAGTTGAGATTTAATAATCTTTAAAAAAGGTTCATAAGAATTTAAAACTATGGCTTGTGATATGAACCGTTTTTCCTTCCTTTGAGACATGGAAGAAATATAGCTGTTGATTTAGAGAAAATTCTAGTCTTAAATACCTACATATGATTTTGCAGGTACAAGCCTTTATCCAGTAAGACTTTAAACAAGAAGTCTGAGAAGCTGCTTTACCTGAGAGGCCCCAAATGAGCAAAGAACAAATTTTTCCAGTTTTGGAAATAGTGCATATTTTCAAATATCCCATGATATAAAATATCCTGTATCTCTCCCTAGGCATAGTAGACAGGCATATGTGTGTGCATACACACTCACAAAAGCACACAGTGTCAACGCATCATTAACCTGCTTGGAAAAATATCATGCAAGTACCAAACTCAGATGTCATTGCTTTAAAATGTGCCCTGATCCCAGAGGGCTTCTGTGCTCTGGGCTGGCTCCTTCCTATCAGCAGAAAAAGCTGCTATGTGAAAAGTGGCAGTTGCAGTCCAGTGGTGCCAGACATTGGCTCTTTCTAGGGCCCCTCCCTGTCCCTGCCTGTAGGTGTACAGCAAGTCTTATGTGGCCCTGACAGACAGGAAAGCAGTTGATCACAGGCAACACTTCTGCTGTGTTTGAGCCCTTGGGAAATTACTGCTTCAACCAACCAAGGCAACATTGTCAAAGTACCACAGGGAAGAGGGCTGGAAGGAAGGCAAAGTGAAATTTAGATTTGAAAGAAAAGAGGCAGGTGGGATGGAGGGCAGCACATAAACTGCCAGCCAATTTGGCAGGGGACAGTGTAGCCACTCATTTGGCATTTGGTAGTGACATCTTAGTTTGATTGCATGGCCCAGGTCCTCATTCCCTACCTAATCCAAGATGTGGGTGATGCTCCACCAGTGTCCAGCTGTTGTCATCCACACAATGACTTTTGTAAACCAGCAACTGGCATAGGTCCCTGGCTGTCATGTCTGCTAGAATCTCCACCACTTTGCTTGTCCCATCTTCACTGAAGACTTTAACATCCTGAAACACACAAAGGAGACAGGGACAGATAAGCAACTCTGCATTTACAGCAATGGAAAACAGAGACAAAAATCAAACAGGAAAAGGAAAAACCAGAGTGCTTCAACAGCCCCCATCAGGACAAGGACCCAGGGAATCTCTCTTCCCTTCCTTCCCTCCTCTCCTGTCTTATTGCTGAGGGACAGGGCATTCTTAAGATGCCCCAGACACCTCATGAGAACGCAGAGCACACAGGCAAATGAGCACCTGGCTTAAGAAGCAACAGAGTGCACTTAAAATGCTGCTGACTCTACATTTGAACCAACAAGAAGAAATGAAGCCTATTTTCCTCTTCCTATTCTAACTTTTGAAGAGTCTCCTCTCCGTTTCCCAGGGCCCAGGCTGCTGGTGCTTGCTGTCTTTACCCCCCACACTGAGATAAATGAACATGGATATGCTAACATTTAAACAAATGAAAAAAGGCACAGTAAGGAGACAGTCATGAAATTGCTTGGCATCTTCCCCCTACAAGATCGAAACGCAAGCAAGCCTCATTTCCCAGGTCCTGCTGAAATCTGTGACAAATGAACAGCTTCCAGGTAAAGGCAGTCAAGTCAAAATCCCAAGGGTTATAAATACAGTCTGTCCCAGCCAGTTGCAACCCTGACAGGGACGTGACTTTAGGGGCTGATGACATATGCTAAAAAAAAAACCAATCTTACTTCTACAGCATGGAAAAAACAGTCTGAGGGACAAGATGGCATTTTTAAATTGCAATTGCCTCCTGATGGGAAGTTGTTTGTTGGAATTTGTTCCCACCTTTCCCTGGCAGGCTGGGCATCCTGTCCAGGGTGTGGCTGCCTCTTCTGGACAGCTGTGCTGTGACCAGAGGCTACTTCTGCCCACACCGCTGCTGCCTCACACTTGTCCTGTAGATAGTGAACCAAACCACTCCAGCAGCCCAATTGTGTCTTTCCCAGGACTGATGTAACCATCCACAGGCTCCTCTCTCTGCAGGGAGACCTGGGGATGAGGTGAGGCTGAGATCCACGATATTAACAACAACACATGCTCAGTGTGATTGGCCAGAAAAATCCCAGGCAATGAATCCACAGCAGACAACTCAGCCGCAAGCACGTGTGTTCTCTGGGTACAGAGCAAACCTCCCAGCCTGTTGTCAGAGGCAACATTAGAAGTGGCTCTGAGGCTGGGACGTGAGTATCAGCTCGTCATCATGACAAGCTCCCTCTCCCTGGCCCAGCTCTCTTGGCCCATGTGTCTCTGATCAGGTTCATGTGTCTTGAATTATGATTCCATGGAGGGGAGGGGAGTCTAAGCACAGTGTGTCAGTGCAGTGGGCAGCCCTGGAGCTGGACTGCACCTTGCCCTCAGGGCAGAACTAACTCTGGTCCTGAGTTCCCAGGCCAGGGGGCAGCAGGAGTGGGGGGGACAGCCCTTTGCTGAGAGGCAGGCCTAGCTGAGGGCTCAGGAGGAGTTCTCCTGTGGAGTCACCATCCCCTTGCCACTTCATGACTCAGAGAAATCCCAACACTTGCTTTCAATCCACTTTCACTTAAAAAAAAAAATCCACCCATCTCCTTTCTGAAATTTATGGTCCACTCAATTAAAATATACTTCCACCAAACAAGTCAGATATTGACATCCAGCAGACACGACTGATAGTCTAGGAAAATAACATCTAATATAAACCAAGAAAATATGCTCTGGTCTCTAGGTAGATCATTCTCTACTAAAATGCTTTAATACAAAAGAAAAAGACAAGTTTAGAGAGTAAAATGCATTTTAAACAATGCCTATACACGTGGAAATTGTGATATCAAGCAAATTTCCCATACCAATGTGTGCTTTTTTCACTCTCAGAGTTCGATTAAAATCCTACAGGTGGCCTCGAGTTGGACATTTTACACCTGGATTAATTGTAAGAACAAACAAAGCAACATTTTCTTCCCTAAGTTCCAGATGAACTTCAAATGTTCATCTGTGGTTACAGTATACACTGCTCCCTGTGGGAAGGTTAGGATATATAGTCAAGTGTGAGTTTCATATCTTTCCAAGTCCATCCCTGATCAGATCAGCAGATCAGTCCTACTGCAGCACCACACCATCTCCCCCAATGACCTATATATAATCGGAGTATTAAAAGCTAAGATGTGTTCTATTATATGTTCACCTCCACTTCTTTTAGATGTCGACAAAAGGCAAGGATGGTGGGACAGAACAGTGTGGGATGGGCAGGAGACATCCAAGCCTGTGGCAGGGAGTAGATGGTCCTCTGTCCCCTGACATACCATGTACTGGCTTCTCTGCCATACTCATCAGGGTCTGCTGACCACAGACAAATCAAGCCCCCATGACAGAACTCTTGGAAACTATTATACATCCCAGCAGTCTTGACCTGGGTGAATGCTTGGAGCTACCGATGGAAATGTTGTAGCAAATACGTATAAGGCACAAGGCTGATCTCAAAGAGAACAGCCAGCCCCTGGCCACAGAGTCTTTGAGAGCACTCGGTGTCCACCAACTGTCCTTTTAATTGCCCCTGAACAGTGCTGGGGACTCCTTCAGGAAGCCAATCTGGGTTGTGCCTCTCTGGGCTCAGCAAAACAGCCCTCGGTCAGAGCCCCTGGTTGCAGCCTGGACCTCCTTGACTACTGGAGGGCTCCTGCTCCTTGGGCAGGGTGGGCATGGAAGGTTCTCCCAAGCAGGTCAAGGCCCAGGTTGCACAGCAACTCAGGTAAGCAGGGAAAGATGGATGCCACGGCAGTTATGTTCCAGGAGAGAACTGCAGGGAACACATGAATCTGAGTAATACTGGGCTGAAGCAGGGAAGCTGAAGACCCAGAGCTCCATCCTGGCTCACCTGGGTACTAGCTCTGACTCACTGTCCTTGTCTGTACCGAGGGACACTGCTCTGAGACTCAGTATGAAACCCAAAGCACTGGGCTCCACATATGGAAGTTATAACATCAGTAGGACTACTTGCATGTTCAGGCCTCTTGACATGGGGCGATTCTGAGGTCTAACTCAGAATAAGAATGGGCTGAAATTCTGTCACTCATTTGCCTTAGTTTCCTCATCTGTAAAGTGAGAGTCCATCAGCAGCACTGGCCTCACAGTATCAGTGTGACATGGGCTCATAAGATGCTCTCTTGAATAGCTCCTGGTCACATGTACCTACTGCCCCTAGGATGTGTGTGGATCTGGGATGGATATGCAACCAGATGGGCTCCAGCTGGAGGCCCACAGGCAACCAAGAAAGGGGTGGAGGCAAGACCTCAACGGCTGCTTCCAACTTGGAATTCCAATTCTGAGAAAGTAGACCTCAACATGACCTACGGTAAGATGCAGTGGGAAGGATTTAGCTGGGAAAGCCAACTTCTAAATCCTCAATTTCCGTTTCGCCATGCAAAGAAAACCAAAGAGCTAATTGCTTTTAAAAATAAAACAGTATTATGCAGAGGCATAATTATGTCAATAGCATGAAACACTCTCTCAGAAAGTCCTGAAGTAATAACAGAATGTTCCATTGTTTTCAGACTTTCTGTTGCCATATCCTATACTTCTACTTTACAGAAGGAAAAGCAAAATCTTTATTATTTGTAAACTTAAAGGAAGGAGTTAAGGAAAATGAGAGCTGAGGGTCTAACAGCTCCGTGACCTCAAAGTACATGTCTTTTAAAAAAATTGTTGTGCTGGGTAGGGGTATATTGTGGCATTTACAAAAGCTCTTATAATGTATCAAATATATCATAGTTGAAATCACCCCCTCCATTGCTCACTTTCACTCCCCCATTCCTAAACAGTTTCAACAGGTCTCAGTTTTGCATTTATATACATGTGTACACATTTTTTGTACTGCATTCACCTTCCCACACCCTTTCCCTGCCACCTCCCCCTCCCACTGGTACCAAACACTTCTCCCTTCCCCCCCCAAGACCTTTTCTGCCCTTCTGTTCTCCAATTTTGTAGAAGAAAAAAGAGAAAAATTACATTTTTGCTTATTTGAGATAAAGGTAGCTACACAGGGAGTTTCCTTGTGATATTTCCGTGTGTGTGTGTGTGTGTGTGTATCATATCTATCTAAATACATATACATATCATATATACATATAATACATATATATATCATAAATACATATGTGTGTGTGTCATATCCCTAACTGGTTCATCTCTTCTGTTTTTCTTCATTCTACCTTAGTCCCCTTCTTACAGTTTCTCCTGGTTTAAGAATTCTATATTCATTCTTGCATAGAAAGTACATTAACCATATTCATCTGCTTAGTTTCCTTCTTTTACTGTCCCCCTCTCTTATGTGACCTCCCATTAGTGTGACCAGTTTTTCATAATATTGTTTGCATTTGTATTAGGTCTATATTCCACATATGAGAGAAAACATGTGGCCTTTGGCTTTCTGAACCTGACTAACTTCACTTAAGATGGTGTTCTCCAGTTCCATCTATTTAGCTGCAAATGACAAAGTTTCACCTGTTTTTTTTTTGTCTTGATGCCAGCAGGGCATCTTTTGGGCCCTCCCTGTTTCCAATCTCAGAACAGACCCTCACTCCAGCTTCCTGCTGTTGGCTGACTTACAGGCTCAGGGCATCTCCATACTGAATTCAAAAGACCTCCTGACTTTGGCAGTAAGCCTCTGTCAAAGGCTTTGTGATAATCACCTTGTAAAAATAGAAAATGGGCCACTCTCAGTTCTGTGCCCCCCCCCCCCAACAACTGGCCAAGCTGTCTGCAGTGCAAGATGTCCCTGGGTGAACAGCCCGGTCCCCAGTGTGCACAGACTTGACCCAGAGTTGCTGAGGTCTACCCTCACAGATACCCGCAGTAACGGTGACCTTGGAGGGTGTCTGTGCCAGACACTCTTGGGCCTGGTGCAGTCTTCATTCTCTTTCTTTGTCCAACTTCTTAGATTCAAAGCTCTCATAACATGTAGACTGGGGTTTTGTAACTCCAGAAACCTGCTGTAAATACTGGGGGCGGGGGTGTAA